GCCAACACCTGTTGTATCTCCTCCTTTGTGACGCATAGTTTCCATGGCTGTGAGTCCTCGCTATCGCCGCCTAATTTATAAAGTCGATCTCCCACTTTCATGAACTCTATGCTTCCTGGGTCGTTCTCTACTTCTTCGAGCTTTTGTTCCAGCCAGTCTTTTGCCTCCTTGATGGCTTTTAGTTCGATTCTTGGTGCTCTTGATGGTGCGTCTGCTACCGCATTCAATTTTCCCTTTCGGTATTGCACCTCGAACTGAAAGGGTTGGAGACTTAACGCCCATCTCGCGACTCTTCCTGACGGACTCTCTATTGAATTAAGCCACTTCAGTGCCATGTGATCCGTAACCACCACAAATTGGTAGCCTTCTAAGTACATTTTGTACTTATTGATGCCCCAATATATCGCGAGGCATTCCTTTTCGGTGGCGCTGTAGTTCCGTTCCACGTTACTTAGCTTCCTTACTTACTGTCGAACGACTTTTGGTGCTTCTCGGCCCATTCAAACTTTTTTTCTTTCTTCAGGAGGTCTTGGAGCGCTCCGGCCTGTTCCGTGAAGTTAGCTATAAACCTTCGATACCATGACGCCATCCCTAGGAAACTGTGCACTTCCTTCGTTGTTTTCGGTGCCGCCAGCTCTTGGATTGCCGCTATTTTTTCTGGGTCCGTTCTGATTCCTCTGTCGGTCACCACGTGTCCTAAATATTTCAGTTCTTTCTGGAAGAACTGGCATTTCTCTGGATTTATCTTTAGGTTCGCCCTTTGCAGTCTTCTGAACACTTCCCCCAGTTTCTCCAGATGCTCTCGTTTGCTCCGTCCAATGACCACGATGTCATCTAGGTAGGCAAACGCAAATGGTTCCATTTCCGGGCCTATTATTGTGTCTAGTGCCCGCTGGAATGTCGCTGGAGCTGTCGTCAATCCGAATGGCATTACCTTCCACTCGAATAGCCCCCGTCCTGGTACTGTGAACGCCGTATATTGCTGGCTGTTTTTCTCCATTGGTATCTGCCAGTACCCGGATTTCAGATCTATCGTACTTATGAACTTTGCTTCCCTTAATTGGTCCAGTATATATTTCATCCTTGGTACCGGGTAAGCGTCTTTCTCCGTTCTTTCGTTCAACAGTCGATAATCTATGCACATCCGCCACGTGTTGTTTTTCTTTTTTACCAACAGTACTGGTGCGCTATATGGGCTGCGCGATGGCTCCACTAGCCCTAATGCCAACAATTCGTCCACCTGTTCGTTAATTATAGCTTGTTGCTTCGGGTTCCGTGGGTAATACCGTTGTTTTATAGGTCTGTCGTCCCTTACGATTTCGGCTCGGGCTCCGCTCCACCTGCCCTGCTTTCTGAGGTCTTGGTACCTATTCATACTTATCGCGCTTCGGGACGCTCCGGTGTCTATTACTCCCTTCGCCGTTCTGCTTCCGACCCTGATGCGTGCGGTTATTTGGTATCCGTCGCAACTCAGCTGCTTTCCTGGTGCTGGCTCTAGTCTTGTCGCCTGAGCTGCCAGCTTTATCTGCTCAGGCCTCCTGCGTTTCCCGGTCCCATTCTGCAGCATTCCGTCGTTCTGATGTCGTTTCGTCCACATACCCAGAAGAATAACCGTTGCGGGTTGCCGCATGTGCGCGCCGCATGGCCTGTCCCGCCGCATCGCATACAAATTTCCGGCCGTATTTGCCGCTGTGCTGGTTGGTTGTGTCGCGGCTGGTCCGCTGCCTCGATCTCTTCTACTTCCTCTGCTAGTTTGAGGAACTCCCGTCAGCGACCTAAATCCTGATCTCCGCGTGTAGAGCTTGATCTTGCTCCTACAGTTGTTAAATATGCGGTCGAGCTTCTCCTCTTCTGACAGTTTCGTGAATCGCATCAGCTTTCTTAATCCCATAGCGTATTCCCTCACCGGTTCTGAATCCCGCTATTTAAGCTGTGCGATCTCCGTTCTTAGCTGTTCCTCGTACCTTGGAGGCAGGAAGTACTCATGTAGTTCTGTTGTTAGCTGCTTCCATGTGTTTATTTTGGTTGGAGTGGTGTTCCAACAGTCTATGGCGGCTCCTTCAAATATGTACGGCATGGTCTGAATGAGCTGGTTCTCCTGAATACCGTACCCGGACGCCCACTGCTCCATTTTGTCCAAGAATTCCAGTGGGTTCGTTGTCCCTTGGTATCGGATTCCCCAGCTCCGTACTCGTTCAACCACCACTGTTTCCATCCTCCACTCCATTTTCCTTTCTTTTTCTCCTTCCATCGTTCCGTTTAGCTTCTCCTTCTTCGCTGCTCTGATCCGAGCTTTTACGCTTGTTGTTGCTTCCTCGCTGCTCTGCTGCTCTGCTCCTCTTCTCTGCTTTCCGGTCTTATCTCTGCCGGGTTTTTGTCCCTTCTGTATCTCACCGCTGGTCCGGCGATCTGCTGTCCTTGCTCCTCTTCCTCTAATATTACGATTTCCGGTATGATATCTTTTGCCGGACTTTTGTCCCTCTTGTACCTTATCGTTAGATCGGCGAGCCGTTGTCTGACCTCTTCGTTATGATCCGTCCTCTTGGCAAACGCTGCCAGTAGCCGTCTTAGCTCTTCGCTTTTCCCTGACGTGTCTAATCCGAACTCTTTCGCGTATTCCGTAAGTTCGTTTTTCGACGCTAGGTATACCCAGCTGGACATAACTCTGCCGGTGTCGGTCTGTTCCTTGCAACCACTTCAATCTGTTCGGGCGCCACTGTGACGGTTAGTCATACCTCGGGGCTCAAGGATGGCCAGGGTTCGTGTCAGATATTTATTTGTTGTCTGAGGTGGTTGCTGCAAGGAAGTTCTCGATCCGGGTTCCAGAGGAGAAGGCCGATAGTTAGGTTATACTTGGACAAAACAATTTATTGTAGATAAGGGTACAAAGAGGTAAAACGGGGTTTTGGTGTTGGCAATTGAGAATATCTGCTCCAGTTCGCCGTACGCCGGCTCGGGTCGTCCTTCTTCGGATGCGTTTCGTCGCCCGGTGGTCCGCCGTCCCCTCGTCCTTTTCGAGATGCGTTCCGTCGCCCTGGGGTCCGTGGCCCGTTCCCGTGCTGGGGTTTCGAGTCGTCTAGCTTCCTAGATGAGCGAGAGTAATCGGTGAAGGCCCTAAGGTATTTCAAGTTAGTGAAATATGCGGAGGCCCTGAGGTCTTCCACCAAGAGATCAGTGGGTAGAGGTCCTAAGGTCTTCTAAGATGGGCAGTTAGTTAGAGGCCCTAAGGTCTTCTAAGATGAGAAGTTTGTAGAGGCCCTAAGGTCTTCTAAGATAAGAAGTTTGTAGAGGCCCTAAGGTCTTCTAAGATGAGAAGTTTGTAGAGGCCCTAAGGTCTTCTAAGATGAGAAGTTGTTAGAGGCCCTAAGGTCTTCTAAGATGAGAAGTTTGTAGAGGCCCTAAGGTCTTCTAAGACGAGAAGTTTGTAGAGGCCCTAAGGTCTTCTAAGAGAGAAGTTTGTACAGGCCCTAAGGTCTTCTAAGGGGAGAAGTTTGTAGAGGCCCTAAGGTCTTCTAAGATGAGAAGTTTGTAGAGGCCCTAAGGTCTTCTAAGATGAGAAGTTTGTAGAGGCCCTAAGGTCTTCTAAGATGAGAAGTTTGTAGAGGCCCTAAGGTCTTCTAAGATGAGAAGTTTGTAGAGGCCCTAAGGTCTTCTAAGATGAGAAGTTTGAAGAGGCCCTCAGGTCTTCTAAGATGAGAAGTTTGTAGAGGCCCTAAGGTCTTCTAAGATTAAGAAGTTGTTAGAGGCCCTTAGGTCTTCCAAGATTGAGAAGTTGTTAGAGGCCCTTAGGTCTTCTAAGATTGAGAAGTTGTTAGAGGCCCTTAGGTCTTCTAAGATTGAGACGTGCACGGAGGCCCTCAGGTCTACCGAGATAGATATAGACTGATTGGGAGGCCCTTAGGTCTTCGAATATTGAGACGTACACGGAGGCCCTAAGGTCTACCGAGATATATAGAGACTTAGAGGGAGGCCCTTAGGTCTTCCAAGATTGAGAAGTTGTTAGAGGCCCTTAGGTCTTCTAAGATTGAGAAGTTGTTAGAGGCCCTTAGGTCTTCTAAGATTGAGACGTGCACGGAGGCCCTCAGGTCTACCGAGATAGATATAGACTGATGGGGAGGCCCTTAGGTCTTCGAATATTGAGACGTACAGAGAGGCCCTAAGGTCTTCCACAAGTTATATACGTAAGGTATGGTCGGGGTCCGACTATTAGTTACCACTTTACCAATATACCTTACTCGTCCTTGCTCCGATCGCTGGCCGAAAACGGAATGCCTCCCAAGGGCTGGAACTCGCCTTATATAGCGCTCTGGAGCGATCAAGTGTGGCTGTCGCACCCGAAGAAATTTGCCATAATAGTGAGGCCAGTCCCTTAGCGGGCCAGTGTGACCCTTTGTCTCTGCTCATGGCGCGCGCGCGCATTTAAATTAAACTGGCGCTCGTTTGACTTCATTTTATTTTGGTTTGTTTGTTCTTTGTTTTTATTGACTTCAGGTGTTGTCTCTTATTCCTATGTCTTAATATGTATATTTTGTGTCTTCAGGTGTTGTCTCTTATTCCAATGTCTTAATATGTATATTTTGTGTCTTCATGTGTTGTCTCTTCTTCTTATTTCTTAATATTTATTTATTTACTTGTGCGTTACACGTTACAAATTATTGTATAAATTTCATAAAAATCGGACAACTATATCATATAGCTGCCATAGAAACGATCACTAGATGTAAAGAAAACATAAAGCTGGGAATGTAAAACTGTAACAGCCAAATTGTAAATATAATATGAAAATAGGAAAAATGTTATCAAACTCTTCTTTGTGTGTGTTGTCAGCATTTAAATATATAATATAAATATCGAAACCAATCTGCAAGGTTATACAAACTTCGGCGCGCCGAAGTTAGCTTCCCTTTTTGTTTTTTATTATTTCACAGCAGCTTTTTATTTACTACGTTTTATTGCTGGTATAAAAACACTGATAATAATGATTTTCATTCATTTTGTTTTTTTTTTAAGAGCGAAATTACTTCATGATGCTTGGAACTTAGCATATGCTGGAGACTTAAACTTTGAAACTGCATTAAATATGACCCTGTTTATTAAAACGGAACGCAATCATATTGTTTGGAATCCAGTATTTACATTTATTGACCAAATTGGACGCCGTATCGAAATGTCTTCAGTTTATAAAAAGTTTGAGGTGGACCAATAATGACGAAACAAAACATATTTTTGTAACTTTGTTTTTTTTTTTCAGTTATATGTTATTGCTCTCTTGGCTCCTATATATGAAAGTTTGGGTACCCCAAAACATAATGAAGTCATGTGGAAAACAGACTTTCGAAAATTATGCAAGACATTTCTGTGCCGTGCAGGCTATTTGCCTTGTATTAATACAGCACGAAAGAGCTTTGAATTGTGGATTAACAGTTCTAATCCAAATTTTGAAAATCCGTATGTATTATTTCTATTGATTTGTTATTAATTTTTAATGCAAGAATTATATTAGCGTACCTAGTGAAGACATCTGCCCAGTATTTAAATTGGGTTCTATGAATGAATGGATGTTTGGACTGGAACGCATAAGACAATTTCCCAAGCTTCGGCCCCAAAGTGATCGAACCTATTTGTTAAAAATGCTGGCTCGGTGTCCAGTTCAACATGAAAAGATTCTTTATTTGCTTAAGATGACAATTCTTAGTAACAATTCTATATTCACCGAAACTGACCAGATTTTAATTATTAATGCAGTCGCATCTGGATTTGTTGGATACACAACACTATTAAACATTGTTTCTGATAATTGGATATACATACGTCAGAAGTAAGTATTAGTTTTTTCCTTTTTTAAATTAAAGTTTTAAAATTCTATTCTATACTATTTATGCGGGTTTCGAGGTCCTTGAAGATCGCGGTGTTTTTTGCAAAGGCAAGGAGTTCACCTTGCTTCCTCCAGGAGGCATCTATTAGCAATGCCAGAACTGGAGAGCCTAGGTATCTCATTCTTGCCCTCGTTAGGGCCGGACATCAGCAAATGAAATGCTCCAAGGTTTCGGTTGCCTCGGATTCATCACATTTCCAGCATTTGGCGTTGTCGGTAACCCCCAGCTTGACTGCATATGCAGCAGACAGGCAGTGACCTGTTAGAATACCCACTGACATTTTGCAGTCCTTCCGCGGAAGTTGCAGCACGTAATGAGTGAATTTCTAGTTGTGCTCTTTGCACATGATTTTTAATATTCTGCAGGTTGTGGAATTACTCCTCCACCTGCTTTTTGCGCTTGCGTCAGCCCGTCTCTATATATCGCTTTAAAGGGTTCTTAGGGAGACAGGAACGTTTTCTGTTCTTTCACTTTCACAGCCTTCATTTGCAAGTTCGTCCATGGTTTCGTTACTTTGTCGAGCTCAGACTATCTAGTGACTTCCCTGCTTCCCAGTACATTTTTGGAACTGATCGCTGATGATTGCATGGATCTTATCGCCGAACAAATTGACCGCCTCATGTGGACGGTTTATGCTCTACACAAGCTCTGCTGCTTTCCTGAATACTTCCGCCTGGAATATACTGCAGTAGCTTGGTAGCTTATACGACAGCCTCATTTCAGGGTCTGAACAGTATATGCCCGCTCCAACTCCTCCTTCCTTCTTGGAGAAGTCGGTGTATATATTGATGTGGTGAGCAGAGTCCTGGCCTGACTTCAAGTCATTTGGTCCCATGAATAATGTTGTGTTTACATCCGGGCACGTTCTGGGTATCATGTAGTCAGATGTACTGTTTACGTTGTGCCGCCTTTCCTGCTATCAGTTGCGCTTGGATATCTAGGGGATATATACCGATTATGGTTTCGAGTGCTTTGGTGGGGGTTGACCTCAGCGCCCCTGATATGCAGAGGAGTGCCTGCCGCTGGGTTCTCTCCATAAGCTTATTATACGTTTTCTTCTCCGTGGCTTGCCACCACACTAAGACTCCATACAGCAGAGTCGGACGCACCACCGATATGTAGACCCAATGCATTAGAGCGGGTGAGAGGCCCCATGTGCTGCTAAGCATCTTCTTGGATGCATATAGCGCTATGGTGGCGATTTTTAGCCTCTACTACATTGGCCTTCCACGTCAGCTTGCTGTCAAGTACAATGCCGAGGTATTTGACTTGTGTTTTCGGGGTCAGCTTGGTTTTGTTAATTTTCGGGGGATCCATTGCGGCACCTTGTATCTCTTGGTGAAGAGAATAAGGTTCGTCTTATCCGCATTAATATTGAGTCCTACCTTCTCCGCCCACTCACATATCTCTCTGAGCGTTGTTTCCATGATCGAGCTGAGGGTCGATGGACAGACTCCCGTGATAATTATGCTTACGTCATCCGCATAAGCTGCTTTTCTCTCGAATCTCGTGATCAGGTTGTCTACCACCAGATTCATTGGAGGGGTGATAGGACTCCACCTTGCTTACGATCTGTAATCCTTGGGGCTTACATGGCTGCACTTTCCTGCTTTGGGCAGAGGGACAATCCGAAAGGGCCTCCATTGGATAGGGATATAGCCCGTGCTTAAACAAGCTGTATATATTGCGTAGAGCCATGGGGTGATCACTTCTTTAATCATCTGCAGTATAGCTGGGAATATTCCATTTAGTCCTGGTGCTTTTATCCTCGCAAAAGAATCTGTAATAATTGCTCGCAGCTGCCACCAGCAATTTATTGATAAGATTGCATTTGGTCGCCGTCCATCTACTTAAACAAACTCGGAAAACTCGCGACACCCGGGTCACTCAGGTCCGCGCACACATGTGTTATTTCGGGCCATAAACGGAATCCCGCGATCGGTCACGTACTTTACACCTGTTGCATGCAGACTTCGCAGGAATTAGTTATCTAAGTAGTTCACATGTCTGTATCCAGCTGTTTATGTTTTTATAGGACCAAGCCATGTATCTGATAAATGTAACCCAAAAGTAGACCTAAGTAAATATTCTTTGACCCAAGAACATGTATATCAAACCATATGCCATATTTAATAAAATCAGTACGAAAAAAACTCTACGTATTCCCTTCTCCGCAGCCCAATTTATACTGTACTCATTGCGGCGACTATTGCCACTGGTACTGTACTTGAGGCACGCAACAAAAACCTATTTCAGCATTAGGATTTAATTTGAATTCTCACATTTGCTGACCCCCGACTTTGAAGCGCATTTTATTCGAAACCTGATTAAATTTAATTTAAATCAACTGCAGCAATCACGGTAGTGATTAATTTATCATATTTGATTTAAAGTAATGTAAATCGACTGAAACAATCACGGTAGTGATTAATTGTCAATAAGGCGATCAAACAACACATCAAAACAGAAGTTCATTGGGCGAAATCTGTTTAACTGCTATCAACTTAGCGATAGGACAGTGCAAAACAAATCAATAAAGGTCAACCAGGCGACCGAAACAAAAAAAATAAATAAAAAGAGTACAATCGACTTGAGATCGAAATTCAGAGCACTCGGCGAACCAATCTGCAATTGACACTTGATTACGATACCTTTTACGTTTATTAATAAACCACGGTGTGAGGCACATCAAAACAAAATACCGCTTAAGGTTTATTTAATAAAATACAATTGAATCTTCAAGCATTAAATCCCTATTGGATGAACAGCAGGCGCTGGGAGAGCGCATTCAATCCCTTATTATGAATTTCAAAAAGGATTCCGACAGCAGGAAAACCAAACCTGCATACTATACGGAGCGGTTGGCTAATCTGGAGGGACTCTGGACAAATTTTGCCAGCAGAGATGCAAACATACAAGCTATCTTGAGAGGAGAAACAATTCGCCATAATTATTTTATAAATAACCTTCGGCAAATTATCCGTTTAATTGAGGTGCTCTTTGGTAAACCACATTTTTTGTGATGTGTTGTGGTTAATGGAATTATCTAGGGACCAAATAGCCCCTGGGATGTTAAAATCACCAAGAACTACTAATTAAGTGGTCCCTATCCGAAATTCTTTTAGAGACCAACTGAATAGCGGAAATATGGTTTGATACTCCGATCTAGCCGGTATACTGTGAACACAGCTTGAAAAACTTCGGAGCTCAGAATCTCCGGCTTTAACCAGGTTTCTGTGAACACAACACTTGGGAAGCAAATATGACACTATTATAGTACAATTTAGGAAGCTTACTGCGAAAGTCTATTATTTTGATAGGAGATACCAAGGAAGTTTGTTAGTTTTTTGGGACGGAATTGGAAGACGTAGAAGGCGCATTGGTCAAATCGGGCCTAGGAAGAGTAATTCCAACTGTTCTTTTTTTCTCTTTCTATGCTTCGAATTCCTTGACAATCACATGCTTTGTTCAGATTTGGACAGAGCATAGTTTCTCAAAGAATTCCTCAGGAACATTTATTTTGAAAGATGAAACTGTCTCGTTGGTGGTATTGCCATAAGGGGTTTTTTTAAGGCAGGCTGATTATCCGCCTTACCAATTTCGGCCGGTAGTCCGGGCCTGAAACCCTGGTAGGGAACTATGGCTCTGAGAGGACAATTGTTTGGACCCTCCAGTGGACAAAACGGATATGGGCAACACCGGGGACACGATAACGGATAACGAATCTTTTCTGGCACTCTATCTCAGGATTCTTGAAATTTGTCCTGAGGTCGATGGTTACTGTTGCTGTTGGGATCCTCTTAGATGCTGCACACCAGTTGATCTTCGTGTGCCCACGTGTTGTCTCAATCGGGCATTTTCCCTTACTACATTTCGTCTCTCCTCGCTTAAGTTCTGTGAACACACTTGTTGCTGGCATGCATGCCTTGTGCGGAGACCAATGTTCAAACGTCGTGCTCTAGGCATTTTGAACTATAGGCAAAGTGGTTAATTTAACCTAAAATCCTCAAAATTTTCACTATTCAACTTACCAGCTTAAAAAGAAATGCTGGTTTCCAATTGAAATGTTAGGAAACGAATAACTTTTATTTTTTTTGCAAAACCATGGAAAACGGTTGGTGCGTTCTGGAATTATGTATATGCTCTGGGTCTATAGGCAGAGTGGTTAATTTAACCTCAAATCCGCATAATTTACACAGTTCAACTCACCACCTTTTCTGTTGCAATTATTCTTGAAAAAGTCCGAAGAAGAGGACACTAAGCTTGCCTCAAATGCTACAAATTCCCAAGGCTCAGATGCACCATTTGTTTTACTAAACCATTCGAAAGTGCCCAATATTAAATTAATTAAAATCGGGGACGAAGACAGTCCGGCAAAAGCTGAAAATGAATAACTTATTTTTTTACTGATTCTTCACAATTTCACAAAATTTGTTTTGTTTTGTTTCATATAATAAAGCTCAGTAGAGAATTATGGCATGCTATGTATCAGTGATGGCCTTTATGCAAAAATGACTTTCCTGCTTTTCTGTTGAAATTTTTCCTGAATTTTCTTTACTGATTATATCACGAATTCCGAGGCCTTTCCAAGGAATGCAAAACCGTGGAAATCGGTTCATGCGTCGTGTTCCCTGAATGTTGCACCGCACATTCAGCTGATCCACCATCGACGAAATGAAATATATTTGCAGAAATTGTTGCGGTTCCTCTGTTGTTGGCACCAATGAACCATGCAAATGATATATTTGTCCTTGTATCTGTTATTGCAAACAATCATTTGTTGAAGAATCGTGTGATGGTGTAGTCCGTAGAGTATATGCTGTTATTATGTTGCAATTCTTTGTGTTTGTGTAAGTGATTGTAACTTTTACCTTGCTAGTCGGCATGAAGCCGCCTTCTCTAATGATATTAGCTCCTAAGGAAGTCATGCGAAAGCAGTTAT